TTTAACCGGCTGGCTTTTTATAAAAAAGGGCCCAATCCATCAACTATATTTTTCATAACAATCTTTTTTATTAATTTCATTTTTCCAATGTGTCGTGTAATTCAGGACGTATACGAATGCAATAATTTCGACTGAAATTCGAACCCATCGTCCAATTCCTCAAATGTTTTGTGGCTATTACTATCTCTCAGCCAGTCCCTAATCTGTCATCCATTTACACATGCTTTTTATGTAGCATATTCTCTGCTTCCATTGTTCCGTTGGCCTTATAGAAATTCATATTCTCCAAACCTTCTTTTTATGATTAAAAATTGTATCAGTTAGAAATGTTTTTTAATTTTTTTTATATGATCTATAATTTCCAAATTTCGATGAAAGTTTCGTTTCAATTTGAAACCAAACTTTCATCGTTTATTTCATTTTACTATACGATTTCACTCCATCCAAAAAGGATGATTCTCAGCATCCTTACTTTAGAACCACATTTCTTTTACTCCAAGTCTTCCGGAAGCTAAAAAATGTTTAGATTTAAATTGTCGGATGCATTCACTACCTATAATTGATTGATATTACTTAACTGTAAATTTCTGGACAGGGGACTGGTGAAATTTTCTTAATACGTGTTTAAAGAGCTTTTATAAGTCATTCGATAATAAAAGTTTGCGCCTTTGAAATTTTGATTATTTTCCATCGTCAACTAAAATAAAAAAATCAATTAATTATTGGGGTTTAATTATTTCCGGCATACTTTTAATAAAGACGGGAAAGATATCTTAAATTTATTTTCGGTAAGAGCCGGAAAGATTTGATCGGCAAAAGAATATAGTAAAAAAACGGTAGAGTAATGAAAAATTAACCTTATTGTCAAAATCTTTGTGACTGGTTAAAATCACATACTAAAATTCTGTACAGAGCAACCTCAGTCCTCGAACGTCTCGCATGTTGAACAAATCGATTTTCGAACAGAAACTGGTTACCGCAGAAAGAAATGGCAACCTGTTATCGAAAAAAATTTGGTTCGTCAGAACCGAAAGTTAAATCGAACGGAATCATTTATGAGCCGTGTTTTATATATTTGACTGTTTTGGTAAAGACGTTTATCTTAAAATTTTATTGTAATCAATTTTTTTTTTCTATACTTTTTTGATTCACTATTTTAGAAAATAGTTTCGGTTTACGGACATTTTGGATTATAAACGAAATTCAAAGAATGGAATTAAATTGTGAATCGAAGATATACAAATATATGCCCTCTAGAGGTGGAGGAATTTTGACAAAATAAAGAAAAAAAATGTCCTATTTAACGTGCGAACATTGTTTGGAAATAATAATAAAACACACCTCCTTTCAGTGATTAAACTGACCGTAATAAATTGAACATGGCGATAAAAATAAATACAAAAGACATAGAAAGTTGAATGAGATAGACGAAGTAGTGGTGGTTTGAATACAACAGACATTTTTTTAAGTTTGAAGGATTAGGCGTCCCTGTAGGCGTTTCCTGTGTAGCTTTGTAGCTGGTGTTGTTTGCATTGATCGTCTCCCATTGAGAAATTATTGTTGTTCAACGAGCAAAAATATATTTGCTTTCTTTGAAATTGTTTAGTATATTTGAAATTGGTTCGTACCAACTGGAAATGTATATCATTTGGACTATTATCCTCATCTTTGTTGTGATATTTATCACAACGTTTCGGCCATAGTACGCTCCAGCTTTCTTCTTAAGGACACATGACTGCGATGCATGTGTTTTGTATACCCTTATTAGACTGGGTATCATGATGGGTATATCATAGGGCTTCATGTATTTAAACCACAGCGTCACTTTGATGGTGTACTGGTCCTTCGTCGTCTAAAGTGCCTTACTTGATACAACCATGAGCGAATGGTCCGAAACCAGACGTCCACAGCGCTGTGCATTGTCCCAGTCTTGTGGGAGGTGAGGGGGGGGTCCATTATTTTCTGGCGCCGTTCGAAGTAGGGAAGCACGTCCTTTTGTCGAGAAGACATGCTCGGCGGATTTGTTTTTGAAATTACTCCCTTCTAACCTTTGTTTAAAGCGGTAAGAATTTCTCAAGGTTGATTTGAATTAAGAAGATTCCTTCTCCTAGACCGGCTGGCAACCAATGCTATAGGGCCCAATCTCTCCTACTATTTACTCATAGCTATGAGAAAGAGATGGATTCATACCTTTCCAAAGGTTATTAATTAGCATGTAAGTGAATGCAATGATTTCGACTGAAATTCGAACACAGGTCTCCAATTCCTCAAACAGATTCGCTATCCATTACTCCACCATACCTCCACACCGCTCTCTCTTTATCTCACTCACTCACTCACTCACTCACTCACTCATTTATTATACTACCAATAATAACTACTGGGCTTATAGAAATTCTACGGTTGACACTTGACCTTTGCATTTTATGATGTAAAAATTGTAAGCATACAGTTAGTTATAAATGTTTTTTGAATTCATTTCTTTATATCACATCTATATTCCTTAGTCCTGTAAATCGTAATTCGATGAAAGTTTTAATAATTTCTATTACTGAAACCAATCCTTTCGGGTGGGTTTATTTCATTTTACTATACGATTTCACTGAATTAGACAATAACAAAAAGGCATGATGGTGTTACTGCTTTCTCTATCTTCTTTCTTTCTGACTTTCTTTCTTTCTTTCAGAGTGAGGCTTGCCGGAAGCTAAAAAATGTTTAGATTTAACCTGTCGGATGCTGTTATAGCTATAATTTGTGGACAGGGGACAAACAACCTAAATTTGTGGACAGGGGACAGGCGAGAGGACAGGACGTAACATACGTGTTAACTAAAGAGCAGAATTATAACCAGTCGATAATAAAAGTTTGCAGTAGATAATGTTCATTCGAAAAAATACCTCGACTTTGAAAATTAAAAAAATCAACTAACTATTGGGGTTTAATTAAATTTTCAGTATACATTTAATAAAGAACGAAAATTACTTCTCTTTAAATTCTTCAGTAAGAGCCGGAATTATAGTTGTATCGGCATAAAGAATATAGTACACACGGTAGAGTAATGAGGAATCGGAGAGCCGAGTTCGAATTCCAGTCGAATCCATTACATTCACTTACGTACTAAAATCCTTGGGAAAGGTATGAATCTTCTTCTTCTCCCCCAGCTATGGGTAAACAGCAGGACAGACCGGGTTCTATAACCTTGCATGGCAACTGGTCTACCGCAGAAAGAAATGGCAACCTATTGCGGGAAAAAATCTGCTTCGTCAGTAATGTATCGAAAGATACATGATCGCCTAAGCATGTATCACGCATGGCACATAACTGACTGATTTCGGCTAAAGACGTTTATCTTAAAATATATGTTGTAATCAATTACAATCGTCTTATCTTTTTCTGTTATGCACCATTTTAGAAGATCGGTTTTCCTTCTCATTACACGTCACAGCCATAAACGAAATCAACAAAGAATGGCACATAACTGACTGAAAGTGGAAGATATACAAATATAGACTAATAGTAGGTTAGGGAATGACAAAATAAAGAAAAAATATGTCCTATTTAACGTGTTTCGTTGTTTGGAAAGAATTCTATAACTTATCTCCTTTCTTAACTAAACTGCTGTTATCAAAATGTGGGACATGGCGATAAAAATAAATACAAAAGACATAGAAAGTTGAATGAGATAGACGAGGCTATGCGTTTGAATACAACAGACGCTCACAATTTGAAAATTTATGTTTGAAGTTAGGCGTCCCTGTATCTTGGGCGTTTCCCTGTGTAGCTTTGTAGCTGGTGTTTGTTGCATTTCTTTCTCCTCCCATTGGAGGGATTATTGTTGTTCCAACGAGAAAAATATATTTGCCACTTTGAAATTGTTTAGTCTCAATTTGAAATTGGTTCGTACCAACTTGAAATTTATATCATTCGGACTACTATCCTCATCTTTGTTCCCATATTTATCACAAAGTTTCGGCCGTAGTACGCTCCGGCCTTTTTCTTAAGGACACGTGGCGCAGTGGATAAAGGCGTTGGTTAGATCCAGTGACAGGACCGAAAGAGTTGTGAGTTCAATACCTGGTTAAGGCAGTAGAGAACTTAGAGAGGGGAATTAACAGGCGATAACTGATAACTGACATCCACTAGACATGGCACGTGGAACTAGAACAAGCTACCTGAGCGAGCGAAATAAAGGGTTCAGTTCGACATTCCAACCACCTGAAGAAGGCTGGAGCGTACCATGGCCGAAACGTTGTGATAAATATAACAACAAAGATGAGGGCAATAGCCCGAATAATATAAATAGTGTACATAATATCTCATCTCAGAAATATAGACAGATACCAGCTTGAAATTGTTTAGCCTCAATTTGAAATTGTTTAGTCTCAATTTGAAATTGTGTACTGTCAATTTGAAATTGTTTAGTCTCAATTTGAAATTGTTTACTGTCAATGTGAAATTGTTTAGTCTCAATCTGAAATTGTTTACTGTCAATTTGAAATTGTTTAGTCTCAATTTGAAATTGTTTACTGTCAATTTGAAATTGTTTCGTCTTATTTTGAAATTGATTCTTCCCAACTTGAACTTGAAATGCTATAGAATTAAACAATCAATGTTCCATTGAAAATCAGGAACCATACCTGGCAATAAAATAAACTCATCCGCAATACTTATTGTTCCTCAATTTGCGAACATCTGATGAGTAGCAGAAATTGTTCCCCAATTTGCAAACATTTGATAAATAGCAGAAAGTGTGCTATGGAATTTAGTGCGGATTAGTTCTCTGTTTTAGCCAATTCACATTCACTTTTTCATATGAAAATACTAGAATCGGTTTACATTGGATCTCGCAGACCCTCACTTTGTATACAACGAGAGTATTTACTAGACATTGCTGTGATCAGTTTCTAGTAATTCCTCCCCTCCCCAAATCCCATCATTGACTAATTGATATCTCATATTTATTATATTTTACTTTAAATTCTCCTGACAAAGAAACTTTTATGGGCGGGAGCGAAACCGATAGTTTTTCCCTCCTTTTATTTTTTATCTCTCATTATGCATTGTAATGTTAAATTTAATACTTTTAAAGCAATATATATATATATATATATATTATCTTAAATTCTCCCGATAAAAAAAAGACATTGATGTGTGGGTGTGAAACCGGTTGTTTTTCTCTCCTTTTATTTTTTATCCTTCATTATGCCTTGTAATGTTAAATTTAATACTTTTAAAGCAACATAAAAGTGAACATTGATGTCAACACTCAGAGGCGACAGACTGTTTCATGCTAAACGCAATGATCAGGCCACATGCGTTGTGTTCTTCTCGACTATTTATATATACGGGTCAGTGGTGCATTGTGGGTATTTTTTGCAATGTGGGTAGTCTATTCTACCGGTTATTTTGGCAAGAGTGGTTCGTTAATTTGTTTATTATTTACTTTACTCATTTGGATTAATTTATTTTACTTGTTTTTACTTACTTAAAAATGGGTTTAATTGGTTCGAGTGGTTTGTTGATAGTTTTCCTGGTGTGCTTTTTTATTATTTGTGTTATGTTCTCGGTGCAAGTGTAGCTGATTTTTACTGTGTTCTTCAAATATTTTTATTATTACATCAACTGTTATTTTTAGTTGATATCCGCATTTGAGGAGACGTTTCGTTATATTTTAAACAATATTTATTTGTTTTCTCGAGTGTGCAGGCCGATTATTAAGTTTGGGGCCTTTTTTCATCATGGTATGCTCTTTTTTTTATCGGATTATTGGTGGCACCTACATCATACCATGTTATATATATATATATATATTAGAATTCAAAGCATTTTCAAAAAAAACATTTACCGTGAAAGTATTTGTAGAAAAGATGCAGTTTATAGAGCATCCCTTGGAGATTAAAATGGCTACGTATGATGCAGGTTATAGAGCATCTCTTTGAGATTAAAATGGCTACGTATGATGCAGTTTAATGCAGTACTCTTGCGAGCTTATCTGCTCGATTCTGACTTGACGTCATTAATGTTATGGGGGATCAATTACTTGTACTATTGGACCAGCATTTCAAGTTTCATTGTCTCATATATAAATTTTATTTGTTAAATTTCAGTTGTTTGCATTTTTTACTTTAAACACTAAGTCTTATTCAAAACCCGTAAGTGTAAATTACAAAGTATAACAAACGCACCTTAGTTAATTCTTGACTTGCTTTATTGAGGATGCTATTAAATCGGTTAAAAAGATGTTTTTATTAATTTATATTTTTTTAATCAATTCACCCCAGACAAGACGATAATGTCACTAAGACGCAAGGAGCTACTGGAAGTGAAATAGTAGGAAAAAAAAAACGGAAACCCAATTCTAAACAGGAAACAAGGGATAAACCTCTACTCCTGTTCAAAAGACTGGGGAGGAGTGTGAACCTGGCGATAGGTGGACCTATTTACTTCTATTGCAGAAAAATAAATAGTGAAAATTTCAGAGTTTAAGCGAAGACGTTAGAAGAATTGATGCCTTTTAAATTTAGGTATCTCATTTTTTTGGAGGTGTCTACTTTAGTTAGAGAGTTTGATTTTTTCTGTGAGTTTCATGAAGATCTGTTTGTGCCGACGCATATGTAAGTCAAAACTAGCAAATCCAAAACTTAATACCTCATTTAACAGTCAAACAAATATGACATGATAGTAGGTATAAAACCTAAACACATGTCTATAATATTTTATTCTCCGGCATGCTTAAATTTCAAACAGTGTAAAATTATATGAATACTGAATGAGGTAATGAATGGATGTGTTTTTCTTACTCCAGGAAAGCTAAGGAAAGTTATGTTTATTTTATTTATTTGTATGTTTTTCATTGTTTATTATATTTTAATTTTATTATGTTTTATTCATTTATTATCTTTATTCATGAAAATACATATTTTATTTAAAGGCGTCGTGGTATTGATTATTTTCTTTTTAAATAAGTGTTATTTAGCGTATTTTGTTAATTACGAATATCCAATATATTATCACTAAAAATTATATTATCATGAATATTTAGTACATTGTATTGACTAAAGAACTTATTAATTAGCATGAATAATTTATACCGTATTTATAATTTAACGTAACATTTTTTATGGACGAGGACTTATTTTCAAATTTGTTAGAAAAGTGTTTCGAGTCGTAAAATTATTTTGTTTTGTTTACTTTTTACTATTGATTCAAAAAGCCAGTTTTTTCTATTATCTTTCAAACATATTTGTACTATTATTATTAAAAACTGTTTTTAAAAACTGTTTCTTAAAAAACTAATTGCTTAGTAAAACTGTTTTTAAACTATTGATTCAATAAAGACAGTTTCTTCTTTTACTATTTATCATTCAAACATTTTTATACTATTTTTATTAAAACTGTTTTAAAAGCTGTTTTTAAAAACTGTTTCTTAAAACTAATTGTTTAATAAAACTGTTTTATAATACTGATTCAAGAAAGCAAATTTCTTCTATTATCTTTCAAACATTTTTATACTATTTTTATACTATTTTTATTAAAACTGTTTTTTAAAAACAGTTTTTCAATAAGTGTTTCTTAAAAACTACTTGTTTAGTAAAAGTGTTTTTATACTACTGATTCAAAAGAAGTCAATTTTTTCTATTACTTATCTTTCAAACAATTTTTCTACTTTTTATTAAAACTGTTTTTAAAAAACTTTTTCTTAGAACCTAATTGTTTAGTAAATTATATTTTTAATATTGATTCAAAAAAGCCAATTTCTTCTATCTTTCAAACATTTTTATATTATTTTTATTAAAACTGTCTCTTAAAAACTGTTTCTTAACAACTGTTTTTGTACTATTGATTCAAAAATGTCAGTTTATTCTTATATTACTTATTTTTTACATATTTTTATGCAATTTTCTTTATGCTATTTTTTATTAAAAAACGATTTTTAAAAACGGTTTTTAAAAACTGTTTTTTATTTTTTTTAGTAAAACTGTTTTTTGTACTATCGATTTAGAAAAAAAGATTTCTTCCTCTGTTACTTATCTTTCAATCATTTTGAGCAACTACAATAATAAAAATGTTCTCAGATAGATTTCATGATTATTTTATACTTTTCTTCTTTTATTATTTATTGATTAGTTTCCATTATTCATCCTTTAAATTATGATAATAGAAACAAAAACACAACAATAATAATAATAATAATAATAATAATAATAATAATAATAATAATTTGTACATTTTTCGAGGAACTGTTTATTCCGATATCCAGTGTAAACTATATATGTGTGTTCATGTGTTTGCGTATATGTTTCTCTCGCTCTCTCTCTCTCTCTCTCTCTCTCTCTCTCTATATATATATATATATATATATATATATATATATATATATATAAGTGAAAATTGAAGTCAGTACTCAGAGGCGACAGTCAGGCCGCCTAACGATTGCGTCGAGCATGAAACAGCCTGTCGCCTCTGAGTGTTGACTTCAGTGTTCACTTTTATACTTATATTTACATACGCTCTAACTCTGATATTGAGCACTTTATCCCATAAATATAGCACACCTTAAAACTATATTTCTTCATATATATATGTATGTATATGGATTTTGGTCATTCTTTTAGTAAGTATCAAGGATAGCTGAAGACAAATCCACACATTAAGTTAAATGTAAAAATAAAATCATCCTACTTATTAGTTAAAAGAATATTGGAAGGCAATCGGGCATACAGAACATTTAGACTATTTCTACATAATTTAGGTCCAGAAAAGTAAAAGAAAATTATAACACATGAAAAATTAAATAAAATTTACCGCAGTACCTTGTCAGTTTTTTTTTTTAATGGAATATATATATATATATATATATATATATATATATATATATATATATATATATATAATATTAGTGGTAAATATACACATACACATGGAAAATATATAAATATATATATATACATACATACATACATACATACATACATACATACATATATATTTGTATAAAAAAAATATTTCCAAGAGGACAGAATCCAGAAACATATAAAAATCGTATAAACATAAAAAAAAATGTCTTAAAATAATTGTCAGATTTTGCCCATTTCATAATGTGTGTCGTCATTTGTTTACATTTGGATACGCATCAAGCAGATATGAATGTATGAGAGGAAATCATGGAGAATTGTGGTTTAAAAGCAGTAAAATCGACCTTGCTAACCGAAACGCTCCTCTGTGGCTCAATCGATAAAAGCACGTCAGGTTATATGACGGTTCCGTATAGGATACAGGTTCGGTTCCTGTCGGAGGACGCATATTTTCTATGAAAATTTCTCGGACATTCAGGTCGGTAAATGTTGTTAATACTGTTTATTATAAACAGAGCATTTACTTAAATATTTGTAGCTATAAAAAAAAACGTATAAACATAAAAAATGTCTTAAAATAATTGTCGGACTTTGTCCATTTCATAATATATATATATATATATATATATATATATATATATATATATATATATAACGAAAAAGAAAGGAATGCCGGGAAATAAACTAGCAGAAAGAGACTTTTGATGTTAGCCGAAACCAATGTTCGCTCCAAATTCTCGAGCCTGATCAAAAGGATATAACTTGACACCTCTGGGCTAGATGCAGAAGGACGGTAGGAGAGGGCGCAACCAAAGAATGTTACCGCATAGAAACCAGCCATGCGTGATGCTTGAAGAAGCAGTTAAAAGTTTATTTGCTATTTATATTTCCGCATTACCCAGAGCCATGAAAAACCCAGTAGGTTGACATTTATGAAATTACTACTACCCCTTATTGGGCGGCATTTAAGCTAACTACTGCGGAGGAGTCTTTATTGTGTCTTTGGTCCAACATTGACACTTCATGCCTTGGGTACATATTAAATTTTTATTAAACTTGAACAATATTTTTCAAACAGTTAACAGTCTTCATCAAAACAATGATATAATTTGTCTATTTGGAACTTATTGCAAAGCTGCATGATAAACAACATTTTTGGTTTTGCCATTTGGGGTCAATACAAATAGCTTTTCTCTATTCCCAAAACTTGAACAACCAATCGTGAGAAAATGAAGGTTCCATCAGATAAAGTCTTGTTACTTCCTATAATTGTCCTTGGGACTCATTGATTGATATTGCATAGCTCACTCTCACAGGGAACCGAAGTCTTTTGAACACAAAAGGAAGATATGGATGAATTAGTTGATTAACTTTGTCTATCTAAATATTAAACATCATTTCATGGATTTAAACTGGCTTTGTGAGAGGACCATATTTGCTCCCAAGAATCCAACTGCGGATAACATCAACTAGAAACTTTTCCAAGAAATTCCAAAAGAAACCATGAAATACTCTTCCATTGACACTGTGGTTAAACAAGAGCAGGTAGTGAATTATCCAATAGAGTTCCTGAATTCATTTATGTCCTCCTGGAATGCCATCACACAAGATGGAACTAAAATAAAATGCGCTAGTTATACTATTGAGAAATCTGGATCTTCCAAAAGGAAAAAAAATGGCAGCTTCACAAGTCATATACATTTAAAACAGATAGATCTCGGAGTCGGATTGATGCTTGTAAGAGTCTCTTTTAACATATGTAAATTCATACTGTTCGTTTATAATACTTTATTAGGGAGTTTTCATTCACACAAAATTTCTAACCTCAAACGTAAAAAATAAACATAAGTAACTAATATCATATACCTATAATATAAAATAGAAAATACATCAGGTAAATCAAGGCTGTCAATCAAACTATAAAATATGCGTAAAGAGGTAAAAGTGTTACTGCGGTAGCGAACAGAAGACACGTTTTGTGGTCAGTGTTGGCGTATTGTTTGACTCTAGAAAACGGATTACGGAAATTGTTAACATCACAGAAGAAACTGATTACAATTTTACAAATATATTGACTGTTATTTCCATTTGCCACCTTCTGGTCAATTTGTATTGCCATAGATCAGCGTTTCTCAACCTTTTTACCCTTGCGTAACCCTTAAAATAAATGACATGTCTCAAGGAACCCCTGCGCAAAAGCAAAATTATATACCATATCTTTCTCATTTTATTTTCATCGTAGTTACTTATTATATTAGGTTGGTGTAAAAATAATGACGTAATAATGTCGTTTTTTGACGTTAAAAAATACGTCAAAAAACGACATTATTACGTCATTATTTTTGCACCAACCTAATAGTATATTATTTTTTAATAACTATTTTAAAGAAAAATTAATACTTCTTTGCCAAATTTTTCGGTAATGCTAAATAAAATTCATACTGTTCGTTTATAATACTTTATTAGGGAGTTTTCATTCACACAAAATTTCTAACCTCAAACGTAAAAAATAAACATAAGTAACTAATATCATACACCTATAATATAAATGTAAACAGAAAGAAAAACAATTGCTGCATCATTTATTTTTATTTTTTATCCTTTACTGGCAATGTTGAAAATACATCAGGTAAATCAAGGCCAAATGTCCTGTGAACCAATAAATGGGCTAAGAAAATGTTATTTTCAGAGTCATTTGATAATGTGAAACATACTTCTCTAATGTGAAGCCTGTACCTGTCTTTTGCTACACAAATATTTAATTAAAAAGTGTCATTAAAGTGCATTAGCTTATCTCACCTGTTCTTGCAGGACCATTGGAGACATTTTGCGGAACCTTAGAGTTCCGGGGAACTACAGTTGAGGAACGCTGTCATAGACGATAGATAGCGATAATTATTTGGGTCTTTTTCTTCTTAAATCAAAATAAAATGAAAGCAAAATAAAATGAAAAAAAAAAATATGTGTAAAACAGTAAACTAAACAAAATATCAGTCAACTCTCTCAACCTTTCTTTTTCCAATATTCGTGCTGTTCGTTCCAATTTATTTAGTGTAGAATGTTTTCTCTTCAAACGGTCTCCAGATATCTTCTTTGGGAAACTAATTTAAATCCTTCTTTAGCTGCCAATTAATTCTCTGTTCCAGATTATCCTCCTCTTCTAACATATATGCCATTTTCTTTTTTCAGGAACGTAGTTGCAATTTATAAATGCCAATTACAAAAAAAAAAAAAGAAAAGATTATTATTTCTGTTTTTCGTTTTGTTTAGATTTCAACCATGAGTAATAAACAAGTGAAACGAGAAAACTGGGGCAAATGGACGGAATTTTTCTTTTCTGTTCTTGGTTCCATGGTGGGCTTGGCGAATATTTGGAGATTCCCATATCTCTGCTACAAGAATGGAGGCGGTAAGAATTTAACAGTTTATTTTTATATTTATATTTATATTATTATCAGTTTTTTTTTTTAATTTTCAATTTTTTAATCTTAGTTTTTATTTTTATTTGTATTTTTTATTTTTATATTTTTATTTTATTATTATTATTATTTTGAAATTGTTTTTAATTTTTAATTATTTTAATTTAATTTCAATTTCTATTTTTTTATTGGTTTTTGATTTTGTATTTTTATATTGCATTGTTTT